TCATCAGCTCACAAACCAAATGCACAGCGAAATTTGACTGAATATAAGATTCGTGAGCTCATATCCTCAGTTATTTCCTCTGCTTTTTCTGCTATTGGGCTAGCTGGTAAGTCTACTTATTTGTGTTCTTCTCCACACATGTGGATCATTGACTCTGGAGCCTCAAACCATATGATTGGGGCCTCCTTTGGTCAATCTTCTAACCTTACACCTCTGTCAACCACATTACTACTGTTAATGGTGATTCTCTTCCTATATGTGGGTGGGTGTGATGATTTATTTCTATCCACTTCGAAGTCTACACCCTTACATCTTCCTAAAACCTTTTTTGTGCCTAAGTTGACTACTAGCCTTATTTCCGTTGAACAACTTGTTGATGATGGTAATAATGTTTTGTTTACTCGTGATGGTTGTTTTATCCAGGACTAGCACACTGGGGAACTGAAGGGGAAGGGGCATAGGCTTGGAAGACTATTTGCTCTGGAATTTGAGAATAAGAAAGCTCCACCAGATTCTTGTTTGCTATCTACTACTTCTAGTTTTTCTTCTACCTTTTGTAATAATTTGTGGCATTTATGGCATAGACGTTTGGGTCACAGTCATGCTAAAAACTTGGATTATTTATTTTCTTCTGGTTGTTTGCCCATGACTGTTACTTCTTTTAAGAATGTTGATAATGTTAGACAGTGTATGCCCTTAGCTCCAATCAGCTTGATGTATATTATGACATTTATTGTAAATGAATAAAAGTACATATTTGATTCATGTTATATGGTGTGTTTATGTGTAATACCCTTAAACTGAACACTAATGAGACTCGTGTTAGTTTAGAATCTTCATAGCCATTGGATAGACCTGGAGAGGTTTATCCTGCCAAGGCTGACACTGATGTGCTACCAAGTGGGTTGGGTGGCTTGTCTTAGCTGCCAACGTGAAACCTGAAGCACATGCAATGTGGGTTTGCTTAAAACTCTGAACTGGACCAAATTCCAGTATTGCCCTGGACCTTGGAGATAGATGGGCAAAACTGGAATGTTACATCTAACCCCTAGACTCGATTATGGTACTACAATAGGTATCGGATTGGGTTGTCTTTGATATGCCAATTAGTGAGATCCTTAACCGGGTCAAAACCTGGGTATGTTGGGGCAGTCCAACAATTCACCTAAGTGGGTGATTATAGTGACAGGATCAGCCCCTTTGTCGAACAAAGTGAATGATCAGGGAATGCACTCTCTCTGATGGAAACCTAAACTGTCGGCAGTTGATTTCAAATTGTTGAGATTTGTTTTGCAAAATATATTTATATAGAGACATACATATATATTATGGTTTCACAAAATGTTTGCAAAAAGGTTTTAATTCCCGAGATCCATATGAGTAGAGAGTGCAACACTGTACCTTGCAGTCGAGGGAGAGGTCCTCACTTGTTGGGCAGTGTTTGATCATTATGGGCTGAGAGGTTAAGTGTAAGACCATTGAGGGTTATACCTGATGGGCTAATCTTGCATCTGCCCACAGTCCTTGGGCCTTCATAAGGTGGCTGGACCCAAGGACCATTTAGTGTAAATGTTGGGCCCATTAGGAGCCCATATTGATGGACTCAGGGGTTCACTGTGTTCTGCAGTGAATTTGGCCAGGCCTTGTAACAAAAGTTGGACTGAACCCATGTGGCTAATGTGTAGATCAATGCTAGGGTTTCACACCATACAAAGATAGCCAAACTAGCCAGCATTAAAAGGGTAAAGTGAGCACTATGACTTAATGGGCCTAAGGCCCATTTCGAACTGGGCTTAAGTGATTTAATTAAATGGGCGAATTTGGGTTTATAACCTGATTAGGATTAGCAAATGGATAAGATGAGTCTTATCCAACTTGAGAGTCCAGATCCAAATATTAGATTTGGATCAAGAAACTCATTCCTAATTGGATTAGGAAGTTGATCCAAAGAAGGTTATAAATAAGGGGGCAAATTCTATAGAGAGGTCACTTCTTCTTTGCAATCTTTTTCTTCCTCTACTCTTGCCGCCCTACCCAGTTTGATCTCCACCCCTTGGAGTGATCAAGAACTGTTCTTGATATTGTTTCTTGGTGAAGAAACAATCTGAAGTCGTGCTCACACAACCCTACACGATTCTTGCTGAAGAATCCTCAACATTCATTGTGTCATCTTCAATGGAGGCGGATTTGGTAACCTCTTTGGGCATGAACACCTACGTTAGGAGTTTTACATTGATTCCGTATCAGGTACTACTCTCTCCCCAATCTTGGTTTCAGATTTGGTCCGATTTGTTTCAAGAACGAACCTTGAAAAATGCAGTTTTTCTAAATCAAGGAATAGAATTCCTAGAGGGGAGAAAGAAATTTTTGAAATTTCGCCCAGCCACCCTGCATGGTTCATCCATCCATATGATGGATCTCCCATCCCTTCAGATAAATCTTGTTTAACTTGTTGCAATAGTAAAATCCATGTTTTTCCTTTTCCATCTTCTACTGAACATGCTTCTACACCTTTTTATCTTATTCACAGTGATGTGTGGTCATCTCCAATTATTCCACATTTGGGTTATAAATATTTGTATTTTTATTGATGACTGTATTCGACATACGTGGGTTTACTTCCTTCGTAAGAAATCAAAGGTCTTTCCCATTTTAAGAACTTCCATGCTATGATTATGACCCTGTTTAAAAGCACTATAAACATTTTGAGGTCAGGTTCAAGGGGGAAGTAGTTAGATGGAGAGAATGGTGAGTTTCAAACCTACCTCAAACAACATGGCATTCGGTCACAGAGATCTTGCCCAGGTACACCTCAACAGAATGGGGTAATTGAGCGCAAGAATCATCACATTGCTAGTATGGTGAGATCCTTGTTACAAGACTCCCATGTTCCCATTACCTTCTGGGTGGAGGCGACCCACACTACTGTTCATCTCATCAACATTCTTCCTACTACTATCCTTTAAAATTCTTCCCCCCATCAATCCTTGTTTCATCGTCCCCCTAATCTATCCATGCTTCGTGTCTTTGGTTGTGTCTATTTTGTCCATCTTCCTCCTCATGAACACACTAAGCTAACAGCTCAATCAGCTATGTGCGCATTCATGGGAAATAGTATGGAACACAAGGGGTTTCTCTATTATGATCCTGAAGTCCAAAGACTACGCATTTCTCATAATGTCATTTTTCTTGATAACCTTTCATTCTTTGCACATATTAGTAAATTACCTACACCATCCTTTTCTGTTCTACAACATTTTGGCTCTACAGGTGATCTTCCTCCCACATCGCTACCACTTCAGGTTTATTTCAGGAAGCATCCAACTCGCCCATCACTTATGCCTCCTCCACCTCCAATACCAGTGACTTGTGATTCCTCTCCACCCATCACTGTTGTAAGTTTCTCTTCCCATCCTGTTGATTTGCCTTCATCCGTTCCTTTGCGTCGATCATCTCGTGTTTCTCGTTCACCTGACCACTATGGCTTCTTTTCTAGCCATAACTCCTTCTCACTATTCTATCATCTACAGATATTCCGAAGTCTTACAACCAAGTTGTAGCAATTAAGCATTGGAAAGATGCTATGGACTCTGAGGTTCAGGCCTTATTGGAGAATGATACTTGGGAGTTGGTCATTCATCCTCCAGATGCCTCCATCATTGGGCAAGTTGTCCGGACACTCGTTGTTCCACTACTGGTTGTTGTATATCTTGGTGACTCTCTGATTTCTTGGAAATGCAAGAAACAACAAACCGTTTCCAAGTCATCTATAGAAGCAAAATATAGAGCAATGTCCTCAGTATGCAGTGAAATAGTTTGGATCAAAGATCTACTTCATGACTTAGACATTATCACTCACCTACCATCCCCCTGTTTGCTAACAACATGAGTGCGATCAAGATTGCATCCTACCCAGTATTTCATGAGTGCACTAAACATATTGAGGTGGATTGCCACTTCATTCGTGATCTTCTCCTTATGGGTTATATCTCTCTCCCACATGTCTTCTTAGGCTTACAGCTTGCAGACCTCTTCACCAAAGCTATGACCAAAGCCCGACATAATTTTCTTATAGACAAACTGATTCTTATCCCCCAACATCAATTTGAGGGGGAGTGTAGAGAAGATGGAGGGTAGTTATGTAATTTTATCTTTCTTTATTGTATTTTAGTAGGCATGTACATTAGTGCACAACACCTTTAATTCTTTTGTAAGGACAAATTTGTCCATTCATATTTCTTTAATATAAATACTCTCTTTTTGGGTTGGTTCGATTAGATTGATCAACCCTAACAGATCTGGACTATTATTCTTCCTCTTGTCTCTTCACTTTCTCACAAACTAACACCATCATGGAGTGATGTGCATATCAATGTTTACAGCCTTCTCTGTACAATAGATCCCAACCATGGCTGTTTTCCTTTATTGTTCTTTGTGAGCAAATTGTACCCCGTCAGAGGTATGAAAAATGCACAGGTGAGATTGACTTGTGGCTTATGTCTTGGGTTAATGGTTATCAAGGAACCTTACCAACTGAATTAGGTTGACAGCTGTTAGACAACCTCAAATGCTTTACTCTTTTTTTTTTTTGATAATTAAGAAGAAGCATATATAGAAATGCCATCCATAACTACAAGAAATGTGATTGAACAATACCTTTTTCAACTTAATCAGAATGGAAATCTCCCCAACAATCTAACCAATGACAATCTCAAATAATAGAACAAATCCCATATCTTGGAAAAGAGAAAAGGAGGATGCTGTAGTCCATGAAGCTCTGTTACCCAGATATGGCAAGAATGATGCATGGATATGGAATTTACAAAAGAAATAATAATAACAGATAAGAAACTCGTTTTAAGTATCTGGTTAAAGTACACACCAAGAAATGAAAATTACATAAAGCAAACTGCAAAATAGGAAAGACAAATAATTTAGATCAAAAGGATGGAAATAAAAAAAATCATGTAATTAAAAATGATAAGTCCTTTCAAACTTACCATTTGATATTGAAGAACAATATCCAAGTAAGCATCGACAACTTTTAAGTACTCATCAAGGCTATCATATTGAGAAACCGCCTACAGTGCAAAAGAAGGGAAGGGACATTTATATCATATCAATATAATTAAAACTCTTGCACCAATGGGCAACTCAAAACTAATGCCTATTTGAAGGGAAAAGATGTTCACATATTTTAAACCTTGTATTACTGTAAGATAAAGGGAAAAAGTCATCACATATCACCAGGGAAGTAAATGTCAAACATTAAGGGTGCAACTTGGGTGGGATCAGATTTAGGTTCTATTAAATTTTGAATAGGCCAGGCCCAAGTGCCTTAGGGACCCACTGTTTGCATTCCCCCATCATTCCAATCTTACAGTAAGTTATTTTTGACTTCATGTTGATAGAATAAATTTCACCTATCAGGGATGGAAGGAAAGATGCCCAAGCATGTATGGACATAAAATAAATAAATTTTATAAGCAACAGTTAAAAAATGATCCGTTGCTGTAAAAAGAAATTCCATCCTATCCAGAGTTTTGGACAGCCAGAAATAAACAAAAATGGCAATAATGCTAGTTACCCTGTTTAGTTCCTAAGTAGGAAATACTCTGGCCTACATACTCCCCACACAAGAATGTCTCTTGAACTCCAGATTTAGCAGAAAATCAGCTAGATTACTGACTGCTCTAGGAATCCACCTGAACAAGGCACTCAGATTGGAAGCCACCAAAACATATCTTCTCTGACTAGAAATGTAAGTATCTAAGTTGCCTCTTCCCTTGCCTTTAACCAATTTATGACTACTTAGAAAGCTCCCTTCAACAAGTAGATCCATGCAGCCAGTTGTTCAAGCAAGTTTTAATCTTTGAATTATAGCCAACTACTCTGCTTTTAAGTGAGTCTCCAAGCTGAGCCTTCATTGGGTTATTTGGTTTTTCATTTGATTGATAGCAACAATTTTGTGTTTTATTGGATGGTCACAAGTAATTGTTGCAGCTGTGTGAACACATAAGAACACAATCACCCAAGCATACACTCACTAGTGATTTGGTTTATCTTTTGACTTATAGCATGTCCAGGTTTTCCTAGAGACAACAAGAAAGCATTGTGATTATGTGAACTCACCGCTCCACATATTAGGCTACCTTCATATTTCTTTGATATTCCTAGTAAGGTAGTGGGTCCTATAAAAGACACAAAGTTATAAAACCTTTTCTATAGGGATTAAGAATTTAAGACCCTAATATAGACTTGTTTGGGCATGCCTCAAGGGGCTTGATACAAAGGCAACTCGTAGAATCAGGAATTCATAGTGTTTAACATCATATTAGCTATTTGAAGTAATGCACTTATGAAAAATAAATAAAGAGATGAAATGTGGGAGGAGTTGTTTGCAATTAAAGGTTTATGGGATGATCCTTGGTGTGTGTGAGGGGATTTCAATGTAATAAGGTTTTCAGATGAAACTAGTACCTCCCAAAAGTCAATTACAACAAGCATGAGGAAATTTAATGACTTTATAGCTGAATGCGAATTGAAAGAGATTCCAATGTTGCAAAATAGGTTCACTTGATCTAACCTCTAGGTAAATCCTTTGTATTCGAAGATGTATAGGTTCCTCTTCAACTTAGCTTGGGAAAATCATTGGGGTAACCTGGTTTCTAGAGCACTGCCTAAGGTTACATCTGACCATTGTCCAATTAAGATAGGTTGAGAATCCTTTTTCACTGGTCCTAGACTCTTTAGATTTGAAAACACGTGCTTAACACATCCAGAGTTTGAGGCTAAAGCGAAGGAATAGGTGTAGAATCCTTTACCAGTGGTCCTAGACCCTTGAGATTTGAAAACATGTGCTTAACACAGGTTTTGGGATTCTACAACCCATACAGGTACAGGTAGGGTGCAGTATTAGGCTAAACCTAACCCTCCCCGACCCGCATATTGTTGGAAAGCATATAAACTTTATGTATTTGGTGTTGAATTTAATAATATTCTGAATCTTATGTGAAGGATAATTGATCGTTTATGTGTTTTTACATGTTTTAATCAAACAATTGGGAAGTTTATTGTTTGTTTGTGTTATTTTACTTATCTATTGCTTATATATAACAAGAATAATAGGAAATCAGATGCGGGTTCTAAACCCAATCCACCCTACCCTTGAATGCGAAGAGGGTAGGGTCAGGGAGGGTTTTGCATTTTCATGTGCTGGGAGGGTTTGGATTCTCAAAATTCAACCCACTATAGGTTTTGGGGCAGGTACAGGTTTGGAGGTTTAGGGAGGTGGGTAGGGTCTAGAATTTACAAAACCCTCCATGAACCTGCCTCGTTGCCATCCCTACAAAGGAGTGGTGGAAGGAAGAGTAAATGGAAGGGAGTGAGATTCCATAAGAAACTGCAAAGGCTAAGATTCAAATTAAAGTAGTGGAATAGAGACCATTTCAAAAGAGTGGAGGAACAAAAGTTGAACCTTATCACTCAAGTTGAAGAGCTGGATGAGAAGGAATCCTAAGGATTGTTGAATGAACAAGAGAGAGAATAGAGAAGACGGCTGAAAAAGGACCTAAAAGATGTGTTGCTAAGGGAGGAGATTTGTTGGAAGCAAAAATCAAGGCATCAATGGATTAAGGAAGGTAATGGGAACACCAGATTTTTCCATGATTTGGCAAATGGACATCGAAAGAAGAACTTTGTAGCCAAATTAGAATTAGAAGGGGAAGTAATCACTAACCAAGAGAAAATAGCCAAAACCCATGTCAATCATTTCAAATCCTTTTATGGATGACCTTTGAATGAGAAGTTACCTTTGGAGGGGCTGGTGTGGCCAAGTTTGGGAGATGAGAAGGCTTGCTGGTTCGAAAGAAGTTTTGAAGAAGAGGAGATTAAAAGGGCAGTGTTTTTTATGGATAGGTCTAAGGCACCAGGCCCAGATGATTTTACAATGGCCTCCTATCAAGATTATTGGGAGATTCTAAAGGATGATCTTTGGGAGGTGTTTAGAGAGTTCATAGACAATCACATAGTAAGTCCAAAAGTCAATGCTACCTTTTTGGCTTTAATCCCTAAGAAGATTGGTGCTATTCACCCTAAGGACCTTAGACCAAGCACCTTGGTGATTAGTATCTACAAAATTTTAGCTAAGGTATTGTCCTTGAGGACAAAAGAAGTTATCCCTTCCTTGATCAACAAATCCCAAGGGGCCTTTGTACAAGGGAGACAAATTACAAACCAAATCCTAGTAGCTAATGAGTGCTTGGAGGAAATGAGAAGATCTAAGAACAAAGGTTTTTCTTGGGAGTTGGATATGGAAAAGGCCTATGATTTGGTGGATTGGCAACTCCTTTACAAGTTTTGAGGAACTGTGGGTTTGGAGAGAGGTGGTCTATGTGGATTCATCATTGTGTCAGCTCTAGTCACTTCTCTATTTTGGTCAAAGGAGTGGTAAAGGATTTCTTCCCAGCTTGTAGGGGTATAAGACAAGGTGATACTTTTTCTCCTTTCCTTTTTCACCTTATTAGTAAATGGGTGGAAAATAGGCAGGGTTGGAGTGTTAGTGGCTCATCTTCAATTTGCAGATGATTTTACTAATTTTCTGTGAAGGAGGAGATCTTGAGAAGGTAAGGAATTTAAAGACATTGGTAAAAAGATTTGAAAAGAAAATTATCAGATCTTCCCACTGGGTAAAAACTGTTGATATCTTCAAAGACATTTCAACAAATGATATAACAAGGAAATGGAAGGAAGTGGCACAAATGGAAACACATAAAGAAATTATAAAGATGGTTTGGAAACCACCAGAGCCAAATAGATTGAAGCTGAATTTTGATGGAAGCTCCCTAGGAAACCCTGGGAGGGCAGGAATAGGGGGAGTTTTCATAAATCATCATGGAGATGTTGTGGCCTTATTCTCAGGACCAATTGGGTTTGGAGACTCAGTTCAGGCAGAGACAATGGCACTCTTACAAGGCCTGAAATTAGCAGAACAATTAGAAGCAAGAGAATTGGAAGTGGAAGGGGACTCACTTTTGGTCATCTCTTGGGCTAAGCAAGCAAAAGCAACACCACGGAAATACTGACATGCATTTAGGGAGGTCGACATTCTTGCTAAGAGTTTTAACACTACATTTGGGTGGGTTAAAAGGACAGCAAATGGAATGGCAGATACTCTAGCAAAACAGGGAGTTGATAGAACTACTTTATTTTGGGCAAAACTGTAACTAGCTGTATCAAACAGAGGGGTGTTTATCTATGTAATATGGGAGTTTTTGTAAAGTGATGTACTCTAGAAGAAGAGTAGCAAAGTAACTGTAATCTACTTTTAAATTAATTAATAAATTCTACTTTACTGATAAAAAAAAAAGATTTGAAAGGATCTCCAACCTGAAAGTCAACCTTGAAAGGAGTAGTGTAGTAGGGGTAAATTTATAAACTAGAGAGGTGGAGGCTATTGCAGGGTGTTTAGAGTGTTATATCTCTATTTGGCCTATGACCTACCTGGGACTTCCATTAAGGAAAAACCCTAAGGAGTAGGGGTGTAAACAGATCGAATTCAAACCGAATCAGGCAATATCTGAATTCGAATATGATTAGAAAATTAAACATCTAAATTCGATTCAATATCTGACGGATATTGAAAATTAATATTTGAATTTGAATTCTAATTCAATTAAATATTCAAGTATTTGTTCATTTCGAATTCGACAAATTTTTTAGGTAATTAATAAATATATAAAATAAATATTTTATTTATATAAAGTATATAAATATATAAATATATAATTATATATAAAACATTTAAATATTCTATATATTATATAAAAGAATTAAATAATCGGTCGAATTTGGATATTTATCGAATCGAATCAGGTCATATCCGAATTCGAATCCGATTAGCTTTTTGGTATGAATAGGATATCCAAATTCGACTGATTAGATATTAGAATTATCTGAATACGATTCAATTATGTCAAATCTCGAATTCGAAATCGGATTTTCAAATACCATTGACACCCCTACTAGGGAGAGTAGTTTCTAGTGCCTAGTTGTAAAGAAGTTTGAAAAGAGATTAGCTTCG